CCTTAGAACGTGGAATGTCAGGGCTGGGAGGGGCCTTAGAACGTGGAATGTCAGGGCTGGGAGGGGCCTTAGAACGTGGAATGTCAGGGCTGGGAGGGGCCTTAGAACACGTAACACTCTGGGCAGCAGATGTTCAAACCTCTTCTCTTCTGAATCCCCTTACACCACTGTCCTTCCAGTCTCCTTGATTGACAACCCTTGGATCTTCTTAACACTAACCCTTCACAACCAGTCAGTCACCAAGTCTCATCAATTCCTCCTCTGCATCTTACAGACATCTGTCCTCCTCTCCCTTCACATGACCACCAGGCCTTGAATTCTTATTTTGCCTCTAACAGAGTGTGTGTTCTGAGCAGGTTGGAGGACCCTCTTTGGGCCCCTCTTTATTTGTAAAATGAGCAAGTTGAGGGGGCAGCTAGGTGGTGCTCCGGCCTTGGAGTCAGGAGGACCTGAGTTCAAATCTGACCTCAGACACTTGACACTTACTAGCTGTGTGACCTTGGGCAAGTCACTTAATCCCAGTTGCCTCACCAAAAAGCAAAAAAAAATGAGCAAGTTGAACCAAACTTTTAAGTCTATCAAGCTATCATCACCATCTCTCACATGGGCTTTTGAAATAGCTTCCTTATTCACTTCCCTGCCCCAAGCCTTACCCTTCTCCAATTCATCTTCACACAGCTGCCAAAATCATCACTTCTCTGCTCAAAAATCTTCAGTGGCTCCCTATGTCCTCTAGATAAGACCCAAACTTCTGGCCTGGCATTTTAGGCCCTTCTGGCTCCAGCCTGCCTTTGCACGTTTATTTCACATCACTCCCCTTCACAGACTCTGAACTCCGGCCATACTGGACTACGTGCACTCCCTGAGCTCGGCGTTCCATCTCCTGCCTGGATATCTGTGCTTCCTTTGCCTGCTTTGAGGCACGAATCTGGCGCCTCTTCCTTGGTGGAGCCTTTCCTCATCCCCCTGGTTATGAGTGCTCCTTCCCGCCTCCTCCTCCAGCCTTGTGTGCACTCGTCCGTTGGGTCACGTCGGTTCCTCGAGGGCAGAGGCTGCTTTTGTTTGTGCATCCTCAGGGCCTGGCATAGGACCCTGGCCCATTTTGTTTCACTGCTAGAAAGAATTCTCAGGGATGAAGCTCCTCCAGCCAATGGAGATGAGCAGCTGCTCTGGGAGTGCTGGCCTTAGAGATTCCCAGGGCACTGGGAGGCTAAGTGACTTGCCCAGCTGATACAGCCAGTGGGCAAAAGGAGGTGAGACTTGAAGCCTGGTCTTCCTGACTGCAAGGCTCATTGTTGTCCACTAAGACACTCGGCTTCTTTTGAACGCAGTAGGAACTTAATAGATGTTTGTTGAAGTATTATTGAGTAGAATGTTAGAGCTGGAATGGATTTTAAAATATAGACTGTTTGAGCTGGCATGAACTTATTAGAGACCTCCGAAAGCAACCTCTTAATTTTATAAATGAGGAAATTAGGGTAGGGAGGCAGTATGCCCTGGTAGCTAGAGTCAAGACCTCAATTCAAATCCACTCCAGATACTCACTATCTGTGTGACCCTGGATAAGTCACTTAACTGCTCTGTGCCTCAGTTTCCTCATCCATTAAAAAAAGAGGGTTAGACTTCACAGCCTCTAAGGGCCCTTCCAGCTCTAAAGCTGTAATCCTGTGAAATGACTTGCCCAAGATCACACAGCCTGTCATTGTCTACTACTTTCTGTCACCGCTTTCCCCTCCAAAAGGCATCTTTCTCTTCTTTCTCTTCCTTCTCCCACCAAGGCAACTCGCCTTCCTTATCCGACCTGACCTCAGTGAGTTGTTGCAGCTCGGACAATTACTGCTTTGCAATAGCTGTGTTTTAGGGGGAAAGAAATGTCTTCTCTTTGTTCTCATCTCCTCTTCATCTCACTTCCCCTTCCCTCCACCCTTGGCTTTTCTCTGCCTGCCTGAGGACACAGGGCAATGTTGCTGTGAACCCTGGGGAATTTTTGGCCAGAATAAGCCTTAGGGAGTGCAGCACAGTGACCAGAGAGAGAATGTCTTCTCATTCTAGAGTGCTTTTAGAGCAGCAAATGCATTACCCCCCCTTACAATGTAAGGAAGGACGGGTGGTGTGGCCGATGGGGAAGCTGAGACCCAAAGTATGTAAGGGAAACCAGAACCAGTCTTCTTCCTTACTGTCCAGCACTGATTTCTCTACAGAATTCCTCCCTCCCTAGGCTTGGTTTTTTTCTCTTTGGGGGCTTATTGTTGCCAGATAGGAATCTGAGGGTGAGGCCTATGTGTAGGAAGAGACTGCTGATTCTCCCATTGGCAGGAGAGGGAGTGAGGGTTGGCTGCAGGCTGCTTCCGTTATCCCATAGGGTGGGAATCCCCGGGGGAGGCTGATAGGCTCAGACATCCGAACTTTGGCAGCTGCCCTTACCAGACAGATGGGAACCTTTCAAACAAAAATTACATATATATATATATATATATATATATATATACATACACATACACATATATATATATATGTTTGTGTGTGTGTGTATGTATGTATGTATCTCGCCATAGACTGCAGGCCAACAGCAATAAGTCAGCCTGATCCCTATTGCATTTTTTTCATTTTGATCTGAGTGTGTTTACTCTTCAGCCATCTCTCCTCTGCTAATTTAGCTGCTAGGGAAATGGGAGGGGGCTGAGTAGCCAACAATAATGTGGTTGCCTGGTGGAATTTGACCCCTGAAGGAAGCATGGAGACCTTCACTGGCCAGCAGAGTTGCTCACCTCCACACCACAGCTGAGGTGACCCCTTTGTGCCAAAATGGTGCCTTGGTCTCATAGGAAGTACTACTTCCTTTGAGTAGCCTGGTATCCCAGTCAACCACAAAGCAAATTCCAAATCAGGACTGGTCTTGGGAAGCTAGAATAGTCTTGGCCCAAGACTGTCAACAGAGCCAAGGTCTAAAGCCAAATCGTTCGGTGGATTGAGCAGGAAAGGAAGTTGCCTCAAGAACCCCAGAGGCATGAGACTTCTGTAAATTAAACAGACATTCAACTCAACAAGAATTTCCTAAGCACCCACTATGTTCAAGGTACTGTGCTAGGTGCTGGGGGTACGACATAAAAAATGAGATAATCCCTGCCCTCAAGGGGGCACTACATTCTACTGCAGGGATTCTTAACGGCTTTGACTTCTTTGGCAGTCTGGTGAAACCTAGGGACCCCTTCTCAGAATAATGCATAAAATGCAGAAAATAAAATACATAGGATTACAAAAGAAACCAATTATGTTGAAATACAGATATCAAAATATTTTTTTAAAAAATCAGTTCATGGACCCCAAGTTAAGAACGCCTGTTCTAATGGAAAGGCAGCCCCCAGAAAGACTTCTAGCCTTGGAATAGAAGAACAGAAGGCCGAAGTTCTCATAGCTTGCAAGGACAGATTTAGAGCTGAAAGGGACCTTAGAGGGCATCGAGTCTAACCCCTTCATTTTACAGAGAAGGAAACTGTGGCACAGGGAGACTAAGTGACTTATCCAGAGTCACACAGCTAGTAAGGAACTGGGCTAGAGTCAATGGAAATGCTGATCTGAGCTCTTATAGACACAAAGAGCATTGAACGGTGAGTTAGTCAGCAATCTACCTCAATGCTTTTGTACCTAGTAGGTACTTGATGATTTGTTTATTTTAATTAAATTAGAAGAGGTGGGTTCGAGTCTTGGCTCTGCGCTAATTATATGGGTGACTCTGGAAAAGTTATTTCCTTTCTCATTTTCCTTTTCTGTAAAATGAAAGGGTTGGACTAGATCAGCCATTTTCAAAATATGGTCTCGGGGCCCCTGGAGGTCCCCAAAGACCTTTTCAGAAGGTCTTCGAGGTCAAAACTATTTTCTCAATAATACTAAGAGGTTTTAATTTCTAATATAGTAAATATTAATAGATATAACCCACAAAAAAGCTCTTTAGGGAGTCCCCAATAACTTTTAAGGGGTCTTGAGACCAAAAAGTTTGAGAACCAATGAACTAAATTATCTCAGGGTGCCCTAACAACCCTCCCATTGTGTGACCCTGGGCCAGAGCAGCCTTAAGACAGGCACAGGTTTTGAGAAGACTGAAGCCAGTAGTTGTCTAGAATGGCCAGATTCTCTGCCATTGAGCAGGCCTAGAAATCTGAGAGAGGTTGAGGATCGGGGGGCCTGGAGCACAGACACCCAGTACATGATCCAGGCCAACAGAATCTCAGCAATTAGTTTAATTTGACAAATGTTGATCAACAATCACTAGAAGGACCAGGTGTGTCAATTGGGTCAAATGATGCAAGAATTTTTAAAAATAATTTTTTTTGCAATTTTACCATAACTTACTATCATCTCTCCTGTCTGTGCAAAAGCATTTTATACACAAACACTTCAAGCAGATACTATAATTTTACTTTGAAATACATATTTTCATCCTTCTATTTCTAGTACGTGCAAATTCACTGGGTCAATTGATATAGCTTGATCTTTTGAGCTACTCTTAAATTCTGGCCTTTCTAGTTTAAGTATCTACTATGTTCAGGCTGACTTTGAAACCCTCCAGACTTGCTTACCTTCCCTTTCCCCATCATTCTTTATCTGCTTGGTCTCCCTGTATCTCCCCAGAAGACCAGGAGAGAACTATTCCCACATCACAGGGACCCCTATGGCCTGCCTCTAGGCATGCTTTCCTCCCCACAGAGCTGTTCCCATCTTTGGGGTCCCAGGTGGCCTCCTTACATCCAGATTTCAGATGGCATAGTCCTTGGGCTTCCTGGTGGCTCTGTGAGAAGTACTTCCTAATGCCTGGCTCTTTGTCCACAGGGAGAACAAGGCGATGATGGGAAGACTGAGGGCCCTCCGGGGCCTCCTGGAGATCGGGTAGGTACCCAGCTACCTCTTCATGTCTTCCATGGCATTAACTCCGCCAGGGGAGATGTTGTAAAGGAGGGATAGTCATCTGCCTTAGATTGAAGAAGGCCTTCTATTTCCTGCCCCACTGGCCAGATTTTTGCTCCTTTTTCCATGGAAGGTACTGTAAGCGTGACTGTGGCCATGGTTCCCATGCAGGAACAGGGAAAGTTATTATGGTGGGGGTTTGGAGGTAGCCATGGATCCAGACCTCCCTGCCTACCCTGTGCTAAGTGCAATAATCCCCCAATTAATGGTGACCACTCAGTTTCTGTTACTTGTGGCCTTCAGGGTCCAGTGGGTGATCGTGGAGACCGAGGGGAGCCTGGAGATCCTGGATACCGTGTAAGTATCAGTGGTGCCAGGCCTTGTACAAAGACCATGATTTTTTGGGGGGGAGGGGGGGTTTAGAAAGACCCCTCCTCTGGCCAAAGACTGTTAGCAGCAAATTGGGAGGTGGCACATCAAGGGGGAAAATGGCCCAATGGGGTTGGCCAGAGCCAACCTGAACCAATCAGGGCAAAAGAGAATCCAGTGTACCCATTCTCCTCTGCACATCTGTATTCCAGGGCCAGGAGGGTGTTGAAGGAAGCAGAGGAAAAGCTGGTCAGCAAGGCTTACCGGTAAGTGAAACATTTTAACTGTCCTCTTTCAAATGAGGACCATGCATTAAAAACCTCAAGGCCCCCTTATGTCTTGAAGCAACTATTCCATAGCTTCTTCTCTTCAGAATTTTTGAGACAACATTCTAGAATTCTAGACTCATGAGCTTTCAGCATTGGGACCTGGCAAGGGAGAGACAGGGCGTGATGCCACCCAAGGCATCCGCACCATTGCTTTCCAGTCATCTTCAGAGATGGCCCCATGCCCTAGCCTAGCCTCTTCACTGGCTAGGGACCCCAGGGACTTCCCTGACCATCTGTCCCACGAAAGAACTGTTCCCCCAATTGATTTCATTCTGAGGATGAATGAGGATGAGGAAAGAAATTCATCCCTCTGAGAAAAGAATTCCAGACCAAATTGTCTTTATTTTGTTTTGGTTTCCAGGGATATCCTGGACCCCAGGGACGACCAGGACCCAAGGGATCAAAGGGTGAAGAGGTGAGTCTTTCTATCTTTCCCCAAAACCAGCGCCACCCCTTACCTTGATCCTAAAACCAGATGACTCATAGTCAAAAAATATTAGAGGATCCTCAGACCCTAGAATTCTAGAACCTAGAATATTAGCTTGGAATTAGAAGGGACCTTAGAAGGATAAAATGGTATAGGTGGGAGGATCAGTAGAGTATAGAATATTATCTCTTTAGAGAATCTTAGAACATAAAGTACAGAAGGGAACTACTGTGTGTAGTAGTAAGAAAGCAAAATAGCTCTCTGATGAGGCTTTGCAAATAGCTGAGGAAAGATGGAAAGGGAAAGATATACCCAACTGAATGAAGAATTCCAAAAAAAAATAGCAAGGAAAGATAAGGTTTTCTTAAATGAGCGATGCAAAGAAATAGAAGGAAACAATAGACTGGGAAAGACAGAGATCTCTTTAAGAAAATTAGTGATATCAAGAGAAGATTTCATGCAAAAATGGGCATGATAAAAAACAAAAATGGTGGTGAACTTAAGTAGAAGAGATTAAGAAGAGGTAGTAAGAATACACAGAAGAACTGTACAAGAAAGATCTTAACATCACTGCTAACTGCTAACTACGATGGTGTGGTTACTGATCTAGAACCAGACATCCAGGAGAATGAAGTCAAGTAGGCCTTTGCCAACCAAAAGGTTAGTGGAGTGATGGAATTCCAGCTGAGCTGTTTCAAATCCTAAAAGATGATGATGTTAAAGTACTTCATTCAGTGTGTCAGCAAATTTGGAAAACTCAACAGTGGCCACTAGTTTGGAAAAGATCAGTTTACGTCCTAATCCTAAAGAAAGGCAATGCCAAGGAATGTTCAAATTACTGAACAATTGCACTCATTTCACACACCAGCAAGGTTATGCTTAAGATTTTGCAAGCTAGGCTTCAGCAATATGTGAACCGAGAATTACCAGAAGAGCTGGCTGGTTTTCAAAGAGGCAGACAATTGTTGTCAATTGCCAACATTCTCTGGATTATGGAGAAAGCAAGGGAGTTCCAGAAAAACATCTCAAGCCTTTGCCTATGTGAATCACAACAAAATGTGTTAAGTCCTCAAAGAGATGGGAGTACCAGATCATCTTACTTGTCTCCTGAGGAACTTGTATGTGGGTCAAGAAGCAACAATTAGAACCGAACATGGAACAGATGATTGGTTTAAGGTTGGAAAAGGAGTTCAACAAGGCTGTATATTGCTACCTTGTTTATTTAACTTACATGCAGAGGGCATCATGTGAAATGCCAGGCTGGATGAATCAAAAGTCAGAATTAAGGCTGCTGAGAGAAGTATCAACAATCTCAGATATGTAGATGATACACTCTGATGGTAGAAAGTGAAAAAGAATTAAGAAACCTCTTGATGAGAGTGTAAAAGCTGGCTTGAAGCTTAACATAAAAAATGAAGATCTTGGCAACCGGTCTCATCACTTCATGGCAAATAGAGAAATGAAAGCTTGTCAGATTTTGTATTCTTGTGCTCAAAGATCACTGTAGATGGTGACTACAGCCATGAAATGAAAAGACATTTCCTTGCTCCTTGGAAGGAAAGCTATGGTAAATCTGGACAGCATACTAAAAGGCAGAGACACCACCTTGCTGACAAAGGTCCGTATAAGTCAAAGCTATGGTTTTTCCAGCAATCATGTATGGTTGTGAGAGTTGGACTATAAGGAAAGCTGAGCACTGAAGAATTGACACTTTCAAATGGTGGTGCTAGTGAAGACTTTTGAGAGTCCCTTGGACAGCAAGGAGGTCAAATCAATCAATACTTAGAGAAATTAATTCAGGCTATTCACTGGAAGGGCAAATACTGAAACTGAAGCTTAATTACTTTGGCCATATAATGAGAAAATGGGACTATTAGAAAAAAAAACAACCCTGTTGCTGGGAAAGACTGAAGGCAAAAGGACAAGGGGAGAGCAGAGGATGAGATGGATAGAAAGTCATGGAAGCAATGAACATGAACTTAGACAGACTTTGGGAGGTAGTGGAGGATAGACAGGCCTGGTGTGCTGTGCTCCATGGGGTCAAGAAGAGTCAGACACAACTAAACAACAACAGTGTGTGTAGAGACCAGTCAGTCCAACCTCCTCATTTGGCAAATGATGGAGCTTAAGCCCAAAGGAAAAAGAATTGCTTAAAGTTATACACAAAGCTAGGGGCAGAGTTGGGACTAAATGCTCCCAGGCCAGTGCTTTTTGCTTCCTGCTCAACCTGTATCACCTTCTCTGGATTTCCTGGATCTGGGGAGAGAGATGATGAGCATCAGCCAGGCTGCTCACCTGACTCAGCCAGAGGGTACAGCCGAGCCTTGGTCAGCTCTTTGGTCCTTAGGAGCTCCTGGGCAGCACAGCAGGACTGTTGGCTCACTGGCAGGTCTGAGTGAAAGCTGGGGAAAGGAAGACAGAGAGAAGAAAAGGGAGGAGGCAAAGCAAAAGGGGAAATGGAGCAAGAAAAGAGAAGGAAAGATAAAGAGGGATGAGAATAGAAATGGGGAAGGAGAGAAAGAGAAGGAAAGATAAAGAGGGATGAGGATAGAAATGGGGAAAGAAAGAGAAGACCCAGAGATGATGAAAGTGGGAAGAATCAATCAGTCAATCAGTCAGGTATTCCTTAAGCATCTACTGTGCATCCCGTACTGTGCTAGGTGCTGGGGGTAGCAGTACAAAAAATGGAACAATCCCTACTTGCAAGAAGTTTGTATTCTAATAAAAGTGTGCACATAAAATATATATCATAAAGTGACCGAATGCACATACATTACAGACACAAGCACATGAAATAGCTAAATACAGGGGAGTTTGAGAATGAGGGCATAGGCAATTGAGGGGAATCAAGAAAAGCTTTAGGCAGAAGATGGTGCCTGAGGACACATCTGATCCTGGGGCCCCTCTGTGACCCCCAGGTCCTGGACCGTTCCCTAGATCATCCTCCCTTTCTCTCTCCTATATTTGAATCTCACCACTTTCTTACTTGTAACCCACAACTGTGGTCCCCTACTCTTGAGGAATATGCTGATTTAACAAGTGTGACTTTGGGCTCTGACCAAAAGCCTTTCTCTGCTGCCATCTCCTGGTCATGGAGCTCCTCTCTCTGGTCCTCCCCAAATTCCTCCAGCTGCTGTCAGAGTCAATCGTTTATTAAGCACCTACTGTGTACCAGGTGCCTTGGCAGAGAGGAGGGCTGCTGGGAATTTCCTGGCCCAGAGGGTTGCAGGGAGCCTCTCAGGTCCTCCATGTTTGCTGGGATCCCCCATCCCAAGCTGTATCCTGAACAAATTGAATTGCTATCTGTGACTTTGGGGCTCTTTCTGCTCATGGATTCTGTAAGGCAAAGTTTGGTCCCCCAGGTATGGATCAATGGCAAAGAAGAGGATCCCATTTAAGACAACTCCAAAAGACTCATGATGGAAAATGCTAACCACATCCAGAAAAAGAACTATTGAGTGTGAATGCAGATCGAAGCATACTATTTGCTGTCTTGGTTTTTTTTTTGTTTGTTTGTTTCTTCTTTCTCATGGTTTCTCCCATTGGTTCTAATTCATCTTTACAACATGACTAACGTGAAAATGTTTAATAGGAATGTATATGTAGAGCTTTATCAGATTGTATACCATCTTGAAGAGGGGAGAAAGGAGAGAGGGGGAGAAAATTTAGAACTCAAAATCTTATGGAAGTGAATGTTGAAAACTAAAAATTAATTAATTTTAAAAAAAGAAGAGGATCCCCCTGTCCAAGTGGGCCACACAGTTATTGGGAGTGTGGAGGTGGGACTGGCCAAGTCACAGGGTTGTTTGTGATTGAGTTGGTGTGAGGCAAATGCTTGTAGCAGTTGTTAAGTGCTACAAGAATGTGAGGTTATTCTGGGAGACGGGAAGAGAAGAGTGGTAGAAAGAGTACTGGGCTTGGAGTGAGCTGGATGGTCCTCTCTTGGAGTCCCTTCCTCTAGTCAGCCCCGTGGCTCAGGCCTAGACTATTTTCTTGGCTTTTCAGGGTCAGAAAGGGAAACAAGGAAAGCATGGAGAAGCGGGCAGCCGAGGAATGCAGGTGAGCAGACCTGAGGGCACACCCCTCATCTTGATGCCTCCCCCAGCCTAGTGTCTTTCCCTAACTTATCTGGTCTCCTTGGGTCTCCAGGGCCTGGTGGGGCAGCCAGGGCCTCAGGGTGTGGTGGGAAGACAAGGCCAAGAAGGTCCCCCTGGTCTGGATGGAGTTCCTGGGAAGGATGGCCAAACTGGACAGCAGGTAAGCAGTATGGCTGGAACTTCGGGTGTGGGTTATCTCCACCTTATCCACCTGGGTGCAGACCTGGGAAGGGACTATATCACAGAGCTGGAGGAGACCCTAGAATCTAAAACGGCAAAGGCCGAATGAACCTTAAAACATAGGATGTCAATGAATGAAGGAGCCTGAGACTAGAGAATGTCAGAGCTGGGAGGGACCTTAGAGAGGAGAATGTCGGCTCGAGTTGAATGGAATCAAACTGAGTTCTGTTCAGTTGGCCAACATGCATCTATTAATTGCCTCCTGTGTGCCAGGCACTGTTAGGGGATATAAATACAGAGAATTAAACAACCCCTACTCATAGGGAATAGAGTTTAAGTCATACACACACACACACACAGCACATGCCATCCTACCTCAATTCCACAATCTCTTTCAACTACCTGTTCTGATAATACCTCCCAGACTGGCAGTTCTTTCTTGGGTACGCCATCTATCCCTCATCCCTCAGCTCAAGTCCGTCAGTGTTTCCAGATCTCTCTGATTTTATGTTTCCCCTGAAAGCACGTGCTTTCAGAAACTAAGTTAACTCCATGTCTCACTCCATTTAGGGGGAACAGGGAGATGATGGAGAAGTTGGACCCATTGGCCCCGCAGGCAGGAGAGGAAATCCAGGTGTAGCTGGTTTGCCTGGAGCGCAGGGACCCCCGGGATTCAAGGTGAGCCTCTTTCCATCCTACCTCCCATCTTGGGCAGGATAATGTTGTGGGGCAGCTCTGAGGCACAGCTAGGCACTATTTCTGAGAGTTATACCTTCGGGGAGGTATATGATGGCGACCCAGGATAGATCATAGATGTAGACCTAGAAAGGACCTTAGAGGCCACCTAGTTCTTATTTTAAATATGAAGACACTGAGACCCAGAGAGACTAGATACCTGACTTGTCCACGGTCACATAGCTAGTAAGTGACAATGGCAGAATTTGAACCCAAGTCTTCTGACTTTCAAATCCAGGATTCTTTCTACTATTCCAGGATACTATATGAGTTTCTAATATTTCTTCAGAGGCTTAAGACCTCCTAAAATAACACAAATTAGATTTTAAAAAAAAACAAACTATAAATCATGTAGGATTAGAGATAGAAAAATTCCAAACCACCTGGCCTCTTCAAACCCACTTCATTGTTGTGTTGGGCATTGCTGCCCCCTGCTGGCTAAATGTAGACAATCAGGCATCATCCATTGAAAGGGTCTTCCTACCAGGTAGGTATTCATAGTTTCATAGACTCATTGATTTAGAATTGGAAGAAACTGAAGAGATCATCTGATCTAACCTACTCCTTTTACATATGAGGAAACCAAGGCCTAGAGAAATAAAGTGACATGCCCATGGTCTCACAGGTAATAAGTGGAGGAGCTGAGATTCATCGATTCATAGAATGGTAAGATCTAGAAGGGTTTTTAGGGATCATCTAATCCATGATGTGCATTTTTCTGTTTATTAGGGACTTCGAACTGTTTTCCAAATTGCTATTAACAATTTCCTCCTTCATGAACTATCTCTTCATATCTTTTGAACAACTGATACAATAATTAAAAAAACATTTATTTTTTAAATTTATTTATTTTTAGATTTCAACATTCACTTCCACAAGATTTAGAGTTCCAAATTTTCACCCCATCTCGCCCTTCCCCCCACCCCAAGATGGCATGCATTCTGAATACCCCTTCCCCTAGTCTGCCCTCCCTTCTGTCTCTTCCCCCCCTTCTCTTATCCTCTTCCCTTTCTATTTTCCTGTAGGGCAGAATAGATTTCTGTACCCCATTTCCTATATTTCTTATTTCCCAGTTGCATGTGATAACATTTTTTTTAAACATATGTTTTTAAAACTTTGGGTTCCAATTTTTCTCCCTTCCTCCCTCCCCACCCACCCTCATTGAAAAGGCAAGCAACTCAATACAGGTTTTACATGTGCAGTTATGCAAAACACTTCCATAGTAGTCATGTTGTGAAAAACTGACTCTATTTCTCTTAATCCTATTCTGCCCCCCCATTTATTCTATTCTTTCTTTTCACCCTGTCCCTCCTCAGAAGTGTTTGCTTCTGATTACCCCCTCTCCCAATCTGCCCTCCCCTCTATCATGCTCTCTTGTCCCCTTCCCCCACCCCATTTTCCTGTAGGGTAAGATATATTTCCATACCCAATTGAGTGTGTATGTTATTCCCTCCTTAAACCAAATCTGATGGGAATAAGATTCACTCATTCCCTCTCACCTTCCCCCGTTTCCCCTCCACCATAAGAGCCTTTTCTTTTCTGCTTTTTGTGAGATAATTTACCCCATTCTACCTCTCCCTTTCTCCTTCTCCCAATATAATCCTCTCTCACCACTTAATTTTATTCTCCAGATATCACCCCTTCATCTTCAACTCACCCTGTGCCCTCTATCTATCTATCTATCTATATACATACATATAATTTTTTCCCTCCAACTACCCTAATACTGACAAAGGTCTCATGAGTTACAAGTATCATCTTTCTATGCAGGAATGTAAACAGTTCAACCTTAATAAGTCTCTTATGATTTCTCTTTCTTGTTTACCTCTTCATGTTCCACTTGAGTCTTGTATTGGAAAGTCAAATTTTCTGTTCAGCTCTGGTCTTTTCATCAAGAATGCTTGAAAGTCCTCTATTTCACTGAATTACCATTTTTTCCCCTGAAGGATTATACTCAGTTTTGCTGGGTAGGTGGTTTTTGGTTGTAATCCTATCTCCTTTGCCCTCCGGAATATTATATTCCATGCTCTGCGGTCCCTTAATGTAGAAGCTGCTAAATCTTGTGTTATGAAGAGCCTACTGTGTTCAAAACTGGGCCTTGTGGAGATAAAGACAAAAGCAAATCCAGTCTCTGCCCTTAAAAAGCTCACATTCTACTGGAGGGACACGACATATGTGTATGTGTGCGTGTGTGTAATTAAATATAATATTTTTGTAAAAATTTAAAAATAATTTAAATATGATTTAAATAAAATTTAATAACTTTTATTAAATTATAAGATAATTTGAGGAGGGAGAGAGAACACTAACAACTAGAGAGGAAGATCTAGAAAGGCTTCATGGAAGAGATGGCATCTGAGCTGAGCCTTGAAAGAAGATAAGGATTATAACAGGTGGAGGTGAGGAAGGAGTAAAGTCTAGCCTTGGGGAATGCCGGGTTTGGAGATAAAGAGATGGAAAAACCATTAAGGAAAGACTTATTACTCATCTGAATTTGTATCCATTTCTTAAAGACTCTGGATGTCAGATTTTTATCAGAAATATTTACCACAAATATTTTTCCCAATCTGTTTCCTTTTATTTTATTTTGGATACATCATTATTTGTTGCATCAAATCCATCTGTTTTGTTTTCAATAGTACCTTCCATTTGTTCAATAAATAAGAATTTCCTCGCTTTTCTTTTCCTCTCCTCTTCAGAATTGAGATCAATATAGTATTCTTTTTTCTTCCCATTTTTAAATTTTTTTTAAACCTCTACTAAAGCTGCCCTCTGATGAGCTGTGGGAACAACCCTGAGTTCTTCAAGGCTATGCCAACCACGCACAAGCTGTGGCAGAACCTACTGAGCTGGAAAGACTTTGAGCACTGGCTGGACGAGGGATCAATTATGTTTGTGCCCAGGTATCATCCTGGCCAACCTTAGGGAGCTCCTAAGGTTGGTAACCAAGCAAGGAGCTTTTTCAACCACCACATCTCATCCAAAACTGTCCAATTCATAGAAAAGCTTGAATCTGCATTGGTGAAAGGAGTATCCACATCAGTGGAATCACCAACTCTGTTGAAATATTAAAATTGATATATTTAGATTTACAATCCAGTTGGAATTTATTGTGGTGTGATATGAAGTGTGACTCTAAACTAAATTTTTTTGCCATGTTGCTTTCCTATTTCCCCAGTCAGTTTTACTGAGGAATCATTTTGATCCCAACATATTATAACCTTTTCATATCTTTAATCTCTGAATATAACATTATATCTATAGGAAAGAAGGAAGGAAAGTAGCATTTATTAAGTATGTACTTTGTGCCAGGCATTGGGTTAGGTGGTTTACAAATACTATCTCATTATATATGTGTGCATGTGATATGTAATATATATCATTATTTGTGTGTGTGATTATATATATCATCATATATGTGATATATATCATTATATATATATGATAGGTATTATATATATTTCATTATATATGTGTGAGATGGATACATATATCCATCTCACACACACACATCTTTCTCCTTCTACAAGAGCCTTCTTTACTTCCTTGTCTCTTTTCCCTCTCCTCCTCCCTGCTCCTAGTGCCCTCCCCCCTCCATGCCCTTCCATTCACACTTTACCTGTTACATTTGTCCATCTTGTTCACTTGTTGTCTCTCCCATTCACTCCCAAAGGGCAAGGATCAGGAGCAGCAGAGTGCCTGGTACATAATAAGCACTTAATAAATGCTGATTGATTGCTTTTATTAGACCTGTGGTTTCATGAGTGTCTGGAGCTCCTGGTAAGGACCTTCCTCTACCAATTCAGTTCCGTACCTTCTATGAGTTTCTAGTCCTAGAGTGCTACCTACCTGAGATGCTGAGAAATTAAGTGTCCTGCCCAGGGTCACACAGCCAATATGTGGCAGAGATAGGACTTGAACCCAGCTTCTCCTGATTCCCAAGGCAAGCTCTCTATCAACTATGTCCAGGTGCTATGTAGGTCTTGTATGTTTGGTTCTTATTCTGAATTTTCTGTTCTATCTCATTGATCTTTTTTTCAGATTTTTAAAAACCTAGTCCCCTCTAATTTTGATAATTACTGTTTTATTGTATATTTTCAAACCTACCCTCCCATCCTTCTACCTTTACTTTATAGAGGTGAAAACTGAGGTGACCTAGCTAAAACAGAATCAGAACTTGAGTGTCCTGAATCTGATCCAATGTTCTTTCTGCCATGCCACCTTGTGTTTCATTAAAAATAAATAAATAACATTCACTAAAGCCTCCGCTCTGTGCTTCACAGTGCTAGGTACACTCTCCCTGCCCTTCAGGAATTAGTAGTCCAGTTGGGAAGACAGAACTTATACAAAAACACAAATAACAATTCAACAATCAAAGAAATGTCTGCACCAGGCTTCAAAAGAGTGGCAGAAATAGTTAGAGCCTTGAGATCAGAGGAGAGAGATCACTGTGGGCTGGGATGGTCAAGGGAGGCTTCTCGGAAGCAGTGGGACCTGAGCTGGGCCCTGGAGGATGGGTAGGGTTCGGATAAGTAGAAAGGAAAAAGGTTGAGTGTTGTCAGTAAGAAGATGCCATGAGCAAAGATGGGTGGATGGAAACATACAAGGCGATTGGAAGAGTGAAGGAATGGGAAACAGGGAGAGATATTAATGGAGATACAGAATAGAGCTTAACTGTGGAGGGCCTTAAATACTAGGCTGGGGAATTTTGACTTTATCTTGTAGACTATATATTCTGTCCCTCAGCCATTTCCCCAACCCCTCCTGGCCCATCTCTCCCCCTAGCCTTGAGTCTTTGCCATCTTGTTGGGCCAATGTTCCATGAAGAGGAAATAACCCTGCCTGGATCAGCTTAGGTGAATGACAACCTCTCTTGATCTCATTATCCCTGTCTGTAAAATGAGGAGATTGGACCATGTGGTCTCTAATATGTCTAGCTCTGTCATTCTAGTTTCTAAGGTTCCTTTTAGTTCTTTCATTCTATGTTCTAAAAATCTCTTCCCATTTTAAATCCTATTATCCTAATATGGAAATATGTTTTACATAGTTGCACATATATAACCTATATCAAATTGCTTACTGTCTTAGGGAGGAGGGAGGGGAAGGAGGGAAGGGAGGGAGGAAAAAATTTGGAACTAGAAAATCTTATTAGAAAAAATAATGTTAAAAATTGTCTTTACATGTAATTAGAAAAAATAAAATACCATTTGAAAAAATCCTATGATCTTATGAGTTACCACATGGACGTAATGTTACTGGTACCTTCCCCTCTGGGTAAGGTCACTTCTGGTGGCAAAGAATACCAGAAAATGTTCATTGGGCAGGATGAGAAGATGTTTGGTCCCTGGTGCTCCCTACATCTCCCTAGACTAGGCTGCCTTTTAACATGTATGTGTTTCTTTAAGGGTGAAAGTGGGCTGCCTGGACAGCTGGGCCCTACTGGCAAGCGAGGGACAGAGGGAGGAACGGGGCTCCCTGGGAGCCAAGGGGAGCCAGGATCCAAAGGCCAGCCGGTGAGTGACTATGGAATGACTCCCACACATTCCCCCACTAATTTAATGTAAGACCCCTTGCCCTTGTCCCTTACCCCCAGGGAGAGAGCAGAATTGGGCCTTGGGAAGTCAGCCTGACCCTACCAATCAAGGTTGCTTTGGGGAAGGCATCCTGCCCTGTCCTGATGGGGAAGGAACAAGGGTTAGGGGGAGAAGTAACAAGAGTCAGGATTTTACAAACTGCTATTGGGAAAAAAACACTAGCTCGGGAGCTGGGCGACCTGAGTTCTAATCCCAGCTCTGCCATGTGCCAGTTGTGACTTGGGCAGCTGGCCCTTAGTCTCCTCAACTATGAAATGAGTATAACAATACCTGCTCATCTTGACTTTACAGAGACACTGTGAGGATCAGATGAGAGATTTGAGAGGATTTGAAAGGGCTTGAAAAATACATGAAGTGCTATGTAGATGTTGGTTTTTAGGAAACAGGGAACTTGAGAGTAAGAAGAAAGAGGGCATTGGATTGATTTAACCAGGTTGCTTAGGTCCAGCTGCTCTGAGACTCCCTGCATTGTAGCTTACTAACTAATGGCGAGAAGAACCAAGATTTCTTGGCCTGTTGGGCATCACCATCACCCCTACCTCATATCCCATGACTTCTCTCTCTCCTAGATCACTGAAACCTATGTTCCATGCTAGAAATGTACTTATTAATCTGGCTTTGGTAATAAGATGCTGATTGGAGAATCCTTGCTGTCTGGTATTTGGAACCACTAAGGCATTTTTCTAGGAAGAGGGGCAAGGCTCCAAGTCCCAATTTGTGGCTCCTGGCAAGTGGTCCTGGGGGCTGCCACTGATCACAGGCTATGTAAAGATCTTACTGGGTTGGAGATCAGTGACAACCCTCCTTCTATTCTTTCCTCCTCCCCCCCTGCCAGGAGGGAACCACAAACTATGGAAAGTGAGGAGTCTGTCATCTAAGAAAGGGAGCCAGTGGTCTGACTAGAGGCCAGGAACTCCTGAGTCCTTTTCTTGGCTCTGACATAGGCTAGTCTCATGGCTCTGGCTCATTGCGGCCTCAATTTATCTAGCTGGGAAATGGGAAAATGTCTAGTAACTAGGTCTTAATTCCAGTTAGTATGTGACATTATTGCTTTTAAAGTTTCTGACTCCATCTGAACCTAGGACCAGGGTACTGATCCAATGTGTGCTCTCTCTCTCTCTCTCTCTCTCTCTCTCACACACACACACACACACACACACACACACACACACACACACATTTGGGTTTTTATTTTAATTTTACTTTCTTGGCAGGGTGACTTTGGAGAAATGGGATTCCCCGGGATTGCTGGCCTCTTTGGACCCAAGGTATAATACTACCCAGACCTCATGGCCCTTACAGCCCCCTTAGCTGTTCCAGCTGTACTCCCATCTTTAGAGGGAGTTTCAAGGCCCAGCTCCCAAGGTTCCCTCTCACCTCTGCTGACCCCAGGACCTAGCCCTTCACTCATCTAAACTGAAAAATTGATTAGTTGTTGACTTGGATGGGTCACTTAATTTCTCTGAACCTCAGATGCCCCATCTGTAAAATGAAAGGTTTATATTAGGTCAAGGATTCTTCACCATTTTTGTGTCATGGAACCTTTTAGCAATCTGTTGAGGCTGATGGATCCCTTAAATGCATAAAATAAAAATACATAAGATTATAGAGGCAACCAATTATACTGAAACACAGTTATCAAAATATTTAAAAAACAAAAAAAATTCATAGACCCCAGGTTAAGAATCTTTGGTGTAAGTTCTCCCCAAGGTATCCTTTGGTTCTTAGGTTCTTGAGTCCATAGAACTGTTCTGTGGTGCTGGATTTCTATTCATGTTCTACTCCCTGTGCCCCTGGGAAAGCTCAGACTGTGGCCAAGGTGGGCAGACTCCTCAGGTCCTGGCAGGTCAAATCATTGGTACAGCTCCCTCTTAGCTATGGGACCCTATATAGTGGAATGGAGTAGAGCAGACAGAGCAGTGGAGTGAAGTTGAGAAGGACTGGGTTTGAACTGCACCTTAGACACATGCTAGCTCTAAGGCCCCAGACAAGGCTCTTAACATCTCAGAGCCTCAGTTTCCTCATTTGTAAAGTTAATGCCAGCTACCTCACAGGGTAGTTGTGAAGATCAAATGAGACAATATATTGGATAGATAGATAGATAGATAGATATCGTTGTAAATCTTAAAGCATTATATAAATGTTAGCAATTATTATTGTTGTTATCATTATTATCACCCCTGGAACAGCCCCTCTACTTCTTCTAATTGTTGAACAAAGAAATGGGGCAGATTTATTAAACTGGCTGTCTGAATAAGTACTGTGTGCTCCCTCTTCCATATCCAAAATGGGGTGGTTGTCCACAACCCATGGGTTCTGGCTCCTTGGGATCAAACGTTGCGCTTTCTTTGTTCCCTTCAGGGGCCTCCAGGAGATCTCGGTTTTAAAGGAATCCAGGGTCCCCGGGGGCCACCAGGTTTGATGGTAAGTTTCTCCCCCGAGGAATCTCCCCTGCCCTGCCTTAAGAACAATAGGGCCCACCAGGCAGCCCAACACTGGTGTGTTAACCTCTGGGCCTCCTTTGCCCTTGAGCAAGGCATCACCTGATACCTGCCAAGCTGATTTCTCACTAGGGCCAGATGAAGTCCGATGACAATTTTTCCTGATACTCACTTCTGTTTGCCACCATGGTCTACTTCCTTCTCTCTCCCTCCCTTCACTCTTCTTCCCCTTTATCTTCCTTTCTGGCCCAGTGTTTTGACACAGGGTCTGTGACTCCGTATGGAATATCCTTCCTTTCCCCTCTCCCCTCCTGTGCTAATCTAACCCATTCTTCATAAGCTAGTTTAAGACCCATCCTCTGTGAAGCCTTTCCCACCGAGGCCCTGCCTTTCTCTGACCACCTACAGTAGCATGGTGGTCTCCTCTACTTATGGCTTCCCTGAAACCTTCTCTGAGGGCCTTAGCCCACTAAGGGCCCCTCTCCTCTTTGGATTCTACAATCTGCCCGTGAAACCTAGGACTTCATTGTCTACAGGCTCCTGTCTTGTTTTGTGCTCTCCTGGTCTTTCTAACAAACTTGTGACCTCTGTGAGGGCAAGTTCCAAGTTTACTTACTTACTCCTGTATCCCCAAGATGCCTATAACGAGGTTGGCCACAATAAATTCTTGTTTTCTGACTTTATTCCCTTCTACTTTTCCATGTCTAGGATTTATCTTTGGTACAGTGGAAAAGACACTGGTCATTAAAGCCGGGAAGCACAGGCTCAGTTCCGGGGTATGCTGGTAAATGTTTAACAACCAGCTCTCCAAGAAAAAAAAATTAAAATATGCATGACACACTTTTCAGCTTAATCTGCATTATTAACATTTTCTCTTTTCTTAAATCTGGAAATAAAAATAGATATGTTGCGATTTCATGGTGTATTGTGGCAGAACCATCTCAAAGAATTCAGTCAGACCACCTCTAATCCAAGTACAGGCATTTATTGGGAATGACGCCTCCAAGGGGCTGAGGTCCAAGAGGAACCAGCAACTTAGTAAGACAAGACAGGCAATTTTATAGTGTAATGGTACTGACTACATAACAGAAATTAAGAATATTAAAAAGGCAGGAGGGGTTTGTTAAGAGATTAGGCAATGGGGAGGGGTCCCTTCTATGGTTCGGTGGTCAAACATCCTGATCATGCTGCTTTCTGATTGGCTAGCTATTGTGGTCCTGTCTAGTCAAGATGGATAGTTAGGTCTTGTGGTCCTGTCTTGGGCTAGATAGATGATGTGATTGTGGTTGAGTACATGGACACACCTGATTAAACATGAGAATTGGATCTGGGGGCAGAGGCTAGCTAGAGGCAGTGGCTGTATTAGGTCTGGGGGCGGATTTATTAGGATTCCATCAGATAGATAGATAAGCAGATAGATTAGTCAATCAATGAGAAATAAAGCCCTGACTTACTGTGTTTGCCAAATTCCAAGGCATAAATGTCACATTGAAAATTTAACATTCATCTCTTTCAAACTGGTACAAGCTGGTTCCAGCACACCCCTAGTTCAAATCCTAACCCTGCCACCCACTAGCTATGTGACCTTGGGCAAGTCAGCCTCTATGAACATAAATGTCTTCAGCTAAAGAATGACTATAATAATATTTGTAATGCCTGCTTCATAGGCTTGTGAAGAAAGTACTTTGTCACCCTTGTAGCATTATCGAAATGTGAATTATTTTATTATCACCACTCATGGACTGTCTCCTGTCCTCCCATCTCCCTCTCTCTCCCATTCTCCATCTTTCCCCCCTTCCCCCACTCCCACTTCTTCTCAAATAGGCAGCAGAGATGTAGTCCAAACTCCTCTTGTAGGCCCTTTAATTCCACGGTTGTATGTCTCTTTTCCACCTTCAGGGAAAAGAAGGTGTCATTGGACCCTTGGGGATCCTAGGCCCATCTGGAATTCCGGTATGTGTTTTTATTTTGCTTGATAAGAAGCCAGGGTCAGACCGTTCAGGCACAGGGAGGAGAGGTGGGACTGAGGGGTCTCAGACCTTCTTGGTGACCAGAGTGAATCCCCCCTCCCCTCCTTAAGCCTCAGCTTCCCCGTATGTGCAACAAGGCATCCCAGGGTAGGCCCGGAAGCACCGAAAACATCCGGGTCTCAACCTTGCTGTGTGGTTTGTCCACAGGGTCCAAAAGGAAACAAAGGAAGCCGAGGAGATATGGTAAGTGGCCCATGGAAGAGCTGGTGGTGGGGAGTCACCAGGGCCTGGGAACAAAGGAGCACCCTGGGTGCCTGGGCTCTGCACCTTTAACAAACTCTTTCTTTTTTATTTCTTTCTTTCCAGGGATTGCAAGGCCCAAGGGTGAGTGGGAAGTAAGGAGCAGGGGATGGAATGGGAGGAGGAGGGGAAGGGAGATGGAAACCCAAGGGGAACTTGGTGACATGTGATCAGAAACAAAGGAATGAGGAGTACCAATGGAACAAGAGATGCGTTAAAGATAATGGAATGTGCGATTAAATCCATCCAGCCGTCCCATGCCTGATCCACTATTCACACAGCCTTGACCCCTCTAGGCATCTCCAAATCCAGTCTTGCCCCTAATAGGGCTAGTCAGATCAGGGAAACCTCAGAGCCAGGCTGCCTTATAGAAACCACTTCCCAATTCTCTCCACCTACTCCACCACTAACACCTTAGTCAGAATTCTATCTCCACCCCAGGTTAGACCAGACATAGCCCAGGACCAGGTTGGCCTATAGTAGATATACACACGTACAGGACCTTGGGGCAGTATGGTGTGGTGGATGGAATGTTGAATTTATAGTCAGGAAGCCCTGGGGTGGAATCCTGCCTTATTATCTGTATGACACTGGGCAAGTCACTTAAGTTCTTCGGGCCTCATTTCTTCAGTGAGAGAGCCAAGATTCAATGACCTCTAAGATGACTTTCAGCTCTAAATCTCTGATCCTCTGACCTGCTTCTGTTTGAATTCTATCCCCACCCAGGGCTAAACCAGGGGGCTCTTCTCTCTCCCCTGCAGCCCTCCAGGGTGGGCAGTGGGGAAATGGGGAAAAGGGTTAGGAGGAACTAAAGCTTTGTTTTTGATGACAAAGACCAGCTGACTCCACACATATCTCTCTCTAGGGTCCTCCTGGCCCCCGAGGACGTCCTGGCCCTCCGGTAGGTACACCAGTACTTCTCAGTGGGTCCTGGAGTGGGGAAGATGAGGAGAGCAGGACAGCTATGTGTCCCTTGTCCTGGGATCAGATCCAGGAAAAATAGTGGCCTTCCTTAGGCCTAATTAAACTCTCCTTCCTCCTGTCCTTCCCCATCGTTACATCTGCACAGGCCCTGAAGACTACTCGCCATCCTTCCCATTTCCACCCCCCCTTCCCCACTATGCAAAGGGGGAGTCAGTATGGATCAAGCACAGGAAGTCATGGGTAATACCCATTTTCTTTTTTTTTCAGGGCCCTCCTGGGATCCCCATCTTATTTGTAAGTTGGGAATTTTTTTTTCTAATCTTACTTGGAAGGAGTTTGGTATAGTAGAAAGAGCACTGAATTTAGCATCAGAAGGCCTCAGTTTAATTACCAGTTCTGCTATTTGCCACGTAGGTGACTCTTGGGCAAGACAGTTCCACTGTCTGGACATCAGCTTCTCCATCTGTAAAATGAGTGTAGTTACCTGCAAGGTCCTGCTGGCTCCAAGTCCTGTGATCCCATTAGCCTGACGGTTGAGGGTTCCCCTTGTTAAGAAACTGGGGAGCCTTTCAAAGTGAACGGAAAGGCTCCTACAGAGCGAATGAGCATGGCTCCTGACACACCACCCTGATTACACCCTTTCTCTCTTTTCAGTCAAAGAATCCCTACTTCCCCTGCCTAGATTTAGACTTTGGTGGTATTGTGGGAAAAGACTGCACTTGTAATGACCTGGGTTGGAATGTCACACTTCTAGAAACCTCGGTTTCTTCTTTTGTAAAATGATGATGATAATATCTATAGTAGAGAGTTGTTTTGATAGTCCAATAATGTAATGTGCTTTGAAAGTTTTAACATGCTTTATGAATGAAAGGGAGTTATCAATATTATTACCAGTCAGATGTGTGCTATTTTAACCACTTGAGAACATTATCACAGTGGCCACAGGAATCTCTGAATGAGGGAGGGAGGGAATGGGTATTTATTAAGCACCCACTAAGTGTCAGGCACTGTGCTAAATTTAAGTACTTTACAAACATTACCTTATTTGATTCTCACAACAACACTGTGCTTTTATTATCTCCATTTTGCAATTGGGGAAACTGAGGCAGATAGGTCAGTGATTTTCGCAGAGTCACACAGCTAGTAAGCGTCTGAGGCTGAATTTGAACTCATCTTCCTGATTCCAGGCCCAAAGCTCTCATCTACTCTACAACCTAGCTAGTGAATCATTACTAAGAAGAAGAAGAAGGATGATGATAAAGAGGATGATGATATCTCAAGACCATTTCTCTCTAACGCCATTGAAAAAGATGAGAAGGGGGCAGCTAGGTGGCGCAGTGGATAGAGCACTGGCCCTGAAGTCAGGAGGACCTGAGTTTAAATCCGGCTTCAGACCAAACACTTGCCACTGGCTAGCTGTGTGACCCTGGGCAAGTCATTTAACCCCAATTGCCTAAAATAAAAAATTTTTTAAAATTAAAAATTAAAAAAAAAGAAAAGGATGAGAAGGAGATAATAATAGTTAACAATGAAATTAAAGTCATGTGGGAATGGGATGGAGTCCCTATCATCTCTGTCATCATTTATGCCACTGAATTTATTTAAAGGATACTTTCAGTGAGCCTTTTGGAGATAAGTTTACAATCTAATACTTTTATTCGACAGTGGGTACAAGCGCTGTACTCACATTCAGGGAGACTGGGTTCAAACCCAGCCTCAGCCACTTGCTCGCTGTGTGACTTTGGACAAGTCATTTAACTTCAGTCTGCCTCAGTTTCCTCAACTGTAAAATGGGGATGATACTAGAGTTGTTGTAAGGATTGCTAGGATAACACGTATAAAGTGCTTTGCACACCACAAAGCACTTGCTAAATGCTAAATCCTTATTTCACTGAGGATTTTTAGGATTATTATTACAGAAAGCAGTTATTTTATCTACTTATGTAATAGCCCACAGAACATCAAATATAAAAGAATAATAGTAGGGTAGTAACTTGTCCCAGAACTGTTTCTATTCAGTCTCAACTGAGCAAGATGACAAGAATTTTACAAGAATAATAATATCAACAACAACAATTCATATTTAATTCTTATAACTCACATAAAATTCTTTAAAGTTTGCAAAGTGCTTTAAATAATTTCATTTAATTTCAGTTAATTAGCTTGTTTTGATCCCAAGAAAAACAAGGCTCATTTAGAACCCACTGTGGACCCCTTTGCCCCACTATCCTGAACATTTAGCAAAATTTATGACCTAAAAGCATTTCCCAGAGACCAAAAAATGTCTTAAGAGCTGACAAAGAAGGAGAGAATTGAGATGAGGGCTCTTCATCCGCACACTAGGAGATGGCAAGGGAAGCTGGGCCGGGGCTGCTCCAGCCTCTATGGCTCAGATGGGTCGGCACCTGAACGCATCTCTCTCTCTTCCACAGCAGCGAGATGACCTCGGCACAGCTTTTCAGACGTGGATGGACTCCAACAGCGCACTTAGGACAGAGGTAGGGTTGACCTAAGTCATGTTGGGTGCACAGCCCTCTGCAGCTGCCTGTTTTCCATACTTGGATTAAAAAAAACCCATAGACTTCCTGGGGCTGTTGGTCCCCTCTGCCTTAAGACCCTTTGACCATCCCTTCTCCAGGAGGAATAATCCTGGCTTCCCTCCATAGGTTTTGGCAAACATGCTAGGAAGAGAAAGTGAGACAACATTGTTGTTCAGTCGTTTTCAGTAGTGTCTGACTCTTCATGACCCCATTTGGGGTTTTCTTGGCAAAGATACTGGAGTGGTTTGCCATTTCCTTCTCCAGCCCATTTGACAGATTAGGAAACTGAGGCAAACAGGGTTAAGTGATTTACCCAGGGTCACACAGCTAGTAAGTGTCTGAGGCCGGATCTGAACTCAAGATGAGTCTTCCTGACTCTAGGCATAGCATGCTAAACACTATGGCACCACCTAGCTGCCCCCATGGCAATGGCATGTGAGCAATATGTAATAGTTCCAAGTATAGTATCCCAGAAGTTAGGAGACTTGAATTTTAGTCCCACATCTACCACTTCATCACTGCATGACTTTAGGCAAATTACTTTCCCTTTCAGGGTCTCAGTTTCCCTCCCTTTCAAAAGATTACATCACTATTTCCCAAACTGTGTTCCTTGGAATCTTCGTATTCTCTCCGCAGTGACTAGAGTTTCCATACTAGGGATATTTTTTGCTTCAAAATATTAAATGTAAAATCATATATCAGAATATTTTTATTTGCAGCCACCTGGGAGGAAATGAAAATTAGTTTTTTAATCTATCTATAGATAGATAGCTTAGATTAGATTCTAAAATTATGTCTTTTATTCTGAGTATATTCCATGCCTTTAGTTTCATGGATTCCATGTAGACCTACCTTTATGGGTTCCATCAGTATAATTCCAACCTCAATATATTCTACAGTCAAATGACTTTGGAAAATGTGATGCCAGATGATCTTTAAGGCTCCACCCAGTGCTAATATTCTGTAATGTTGTGATCTATTATGCACACATACCTGCTCCTTCCCTCACCTTCTCTGGGAGGTCTCTTGGGAATATACTAGCTTGGTAGTTAGAAGATTTGGGCTGCAGTCTTTTCCACCCCCTTTTTACCAGCCAAATATCTTTGGTCTCTTTCTATTACTCCCTGCTCCCACATTTGCCCTCAACTCCTTGTAGCTGAACGTCAGTTAATTCAGAATCCAGACCAGCGTTTGGCAGGAGTAGGCATGGAGTGATTTGGAATCCAAAACAGATCCTCATAAACCCCTCAGGCTAGAGAGTCCTATGGCTGGCCACCTTCTCCCAGAGTCCGCTCATCATTGGAGGGGTGGAGAGGAGTAGAACATGTGCTTCTGTTGCTAGCTCTCTTTCTTTCTTGGGAAAGTATGGTGTTTTCTAGCTTATACAGTACCGGTGTGGCCAAGCCATTAGCCAGAGGAGTGCTGAGCAACATCTGGCTACAGACAGTTTTTAAGAACCTGATTTGGCTAACTTGACACAAGTCACTTCCCTGGGTTTATGACATCATCTGTATAATGGGGATATTAGCCTCTCCTGCCCTATCTGCCTCATTAGATTTTTAAAGTTCGAATGAGATCATGGGTTTGAAGGCTCTTTGAAAAGTATAAAGTACTGTAAGGTCAGAAAACAGTATAATGATTATTACTTACAAAGGATTTGGCCCACAGAAGGAAGGTGCAGGCACTATATTGAGCACTTTTTACAAATATCCCTTTTGATCCTTACAACAATCCTAGGAGCTAGGTGCTATTATTATTCCTATTTTACAGTTGAAATTGAAGCAGACTGAGGTAAAGTGACTTGCCCGGGGTCATACAGCTAATAAGTGTCTGAGGCCAGATTTGAATTCAGGTCTTTCTGACTACAGGCCCAGGGCTCTATCCACTGCACCACCTGGCTGCCCATGTATTACCTATGACTGCCCAAGGAACCCCCTAGCTTACCCTCCTTGTCTGGTGGGTCTCTCTAGTAATGGCTGGAGGGAGGAGAAACAGGTGCCCATCTTGAGCAAAAGCAATAGAACCTTGATGTCTGGAATGATTGGAAGCTACTGTCCCACTGTATCTTGCCCTTCCTTCTCCAGCTCAATTTTTACAGAGGAGGAAACTGAGGCAAACAGAGTCAAGTGACTTGCCCAGGGTCACACAGCTAGTAAGTGTCTGAGGCCAGATTTGAACTAAGGAAAATGAGTCTTCCTGACTCCAGGCCTGGTGCTCTATCCACTGTGCCACCTAGCTGCTTCCTGGACCCCTTCTAACCCATCCCAGAACTGAATAGGAATGCCTCTTCCAGCATCTCTGACAAGGAGATGTTCAGACTCTCCTTGGAGACCTCCTTACAAGGAGCTGAAATCTGCCTTTCTACACCTTCTAGCCATTACTTCTAGTTTAATTTTCTGGGGCCAAGTGGGTAAGTTGAAGCCTCCCTTCAGATAGCCGAAGATTGCTATTAGTACCCCTCATGTCATCTCTGCTCCCAGCTGGACATCACCAGTTCTCTCACCTGATCCTCCTCTGGTATAAACTCCAGCCCCCTCACCATTCCCCAGATTATCTCCAGTGTGTCAACATGACTTAAAATGTGGCACCCAGAATCAAACCCTCTATTACAAATGTGGCTCAACCATGGAAGAGCATGATCACTTTCCTTACGCTGGACGTTGACTCTATCAGTGTGGCCTACGGTTGTGGTAGCCTCTAGGGCTCTTACGCCACACTGCTGCTTACAAAAGTCACGGAACACCATGGTCCCGGAGAATCCAGATTTGTAGATAGGACAGTGACTATATGGTTGGGCACATAAAATGTCTATAACATATCACCAAGGATAACTTGTGTGTAAGAAAAGGTTGAGAGCATCCTGTCTAAGAAATCTAAGATCAGAAGAGGAGGTGGGTCAGCTCACCTAGTAAGAATAGGGGAGAAGAACCCAAGTGATGCACTGGTAACCGTGGAATGTTCACAGACCAAGAAGAAGGCCCCTCGTGCATCACGTGGATGCTCTGTGGATAATTTCTGGGAGAACAAGAACAAGAACACAGGAAGAGAGGAGGCAGATAGAATGTGATCTCTATCATTGAGGAAGGACTCACTTTAACAAAATGATAAGTCAATTGAAGTATTTTGACATACTTGTCACTGTTGAGTGCTTGTAGTTCACTGAAACCCCCAAATCTTTTTCAAGTGAATTCCCTAATCTTGTACTTGTGCAATTTGTTTTATTTTTTTTTCCCAAGTAGGGCTTTACATTTATCCGTATTAAATTTCATCTTATTAGAGCCAACCATTCAAGCCTGTTGAGATTTTGGGGGATACTAAATGTCAGTCAACACATTAGCTATTCCTTCCAGCTTTACGTCATCTGAAGATTTGATAAGGTTTCCATTTATGCCTTCATCTAAATCATTGACAAAAATGTTAAACAGTCCATTATCAAAGGGAGACCCCTGGGACACTCCACCGGAGAGATCCTTCCAAATTGACATCAATACACAAATTCTTTGGATCTTGTCATTCAGTTAGTTCCAAATCTACCTAAATGTACTATCATTGAGCCCACATAGTTGCAGAGAGATCTTGTTAAATACTTTGCTAAAATCCAGATGTACTATATCTATGGCATTACCTTGAACTTACCAGTCTAAAGTAATTCTAGGAAAAAAGCAATGAGGTCAGCATTTTCTGCCCTACAACTTTTGCTCCATCCCTATTGAAAAACAAGAGATTTGTAACAGATATGCAGTCAAGCAAAATAAATTTCTATATTGACCATGTCCAAAAAAGTGTACTGAGCCCAACTCCTCTGTCAGGAGACTTCTTCACTGATCCTTTGGAATCATGGTTGTTTATTGTGTTGGTCAAAGTTCTTAAATCTTTCAAAGTTGTTTGTCTTTACAATAAGTCTATCACATTTGAAGAGCTATATCTTCTTCAAAATACTGATTTATACAGGCTGTCCCCAAAGTCTTTAGCAGCTAAAGCTTAAAACTACACCAAGGCTTTTGGGACAATAATAATAATAATAATAATAATAATAATAAAAATAATAATGATAATTGCCAGGCACTATACTAAGTGCTGTTATTATGTCATTTGATTCTCACTACCAAACTAGGAGATAGATACTATTATTATCCCCATTTTAGAGATGGACAAACTAAGGCAAACTTGCCCAGGCCACACAACTAGTAAGTGTCTGAGGCCAGATTTGAGCTAAGGTTTTCCTCACTGCAGGCCCAGGACTCTATCCACTGTGCCACCTCACTACTTCATTAAAAAAAAAAAGCAGGCTTTGATGAATTTAGCCTTTCCTTATTCCAAAGACATCATTCATATCTTTTGATCATTTGTCTATCGAGAAATGGCTTTTAGTCTAATTTATGTGTGTTAATTCCTAATGTATCTTGGTTATCACAGCCTTGCCAGAAAAACTAAATACAAAGATTTGTTTTCTAAATTGACATCTTTCTTTCTTATCCTAGCTGCATTGATTAAGTTCGTGCAAAAACTTTTCCATTTCATGCAGTCAAAACTATTGATTTTTTTCTTTTGCGATTGCCTCTGTTCCCGTTTGATGAAGAACTCTCCCCTTAGCCATTTCCGGTCTTATTCTCTGCTGATATTATTTTTTGTGCCATGACCCTTAATATTCAGGTCATGTATCTATTTTGAGTTTATTGTGGTATATGATGTAAGACGTTGGATGAAACCTAATTACTATTTTCCAGATTTCCTAGCAGTTCTTGTCAAATAGTTCTTCACTAAGTAATTTATACTCTTGTGTTTATTGAACTGGGTTATTGAGTTTAGTTGTTTCTGATTCTTCCTTTCTAGTCTGTGCTGCTGATCTGCTTTTCTGGTTATTTTTTTTCACCAGGACCAAATAGTTTTGATGATTATGACTTTATAGGATAAGTTGAGGTCTGATACAGTTATTCCCTCTTCATTACTTACTTTCTTTCATTATTTCCCTTGAGTTTCTAGACTTTTAGTTGCTCCAAATGAATTTTGTTATTATTTTGTCTAGCTCTATAAAGTACCCCCTCTTCTACGGTTTTTTCAAAGATCACCAACAACAGCTCAATAATCACATTTCCCAACTCTTTCAGTATCTTGGGATGTAATTAATCTGGGCCTGGTGATGTGAACTCCCTAAGGAAAGAGGGAAGCTCTCTTACCATGTCTTCACTTGGGTTTCAGCTCTATATTGACCATACTCACTCTTTCTTTTCTAGTTTCAAAGATCCTTCTCCTTGCTGGAGAAAAAAAACAAAATAAGTGTTCCTTTCTGTCATTTGTTGACATCACCTCATTGTTCTCATTGCTCCAGGACTGTGTGGAGTTCTGGGCACCACATCTTAGAAGGGATGTTGTCAAGCTATGGTGCTTCCAGAGAACCAAGATGGGGAGGGCGCTGGCACGTGCAGCTTAGAAAGGTTATTAGAATGAACTGGGAAATGTTTAACCTGAAGGAGGGAAGTCTTCGGGGCAATATAATCTCTGCCTTCAAATATCTGAAGGGCTGTCTTGTGGAAGAGTGTTATGCTTGGCCCCAAAAGGCAGAGCTAGGAGCAATAGGCAGATGGATGGAAGGTCCAGAGAGGCATATTTGAGTTCAACACAAAGAATTCCCTAACCGTTCATACTGTCCAACAATGGAATGTATTGCCTCTGGAGCTATTGAGCTCCTTGTTGCTGGAGGGATTTAAGTAGAAGCTGATTACCCACTGGTTTGAGATCTTGGGGAGGAGGTCCATATAATATTTTTTTGTTATTGGAACTGACTTTATTTAATTCTCAAAGGTGGCATAGCATAGTGAATAGAGCAGCAACCTTGGAGTCAGGAAGACCTGGGTTTGAATCCTCCCTCTGAAACATTGCCTGTGTGAGAAGGGGCCAGCCCCCTGATCTCTCTGTTCTCATGGCAGCTCTTTAGGATTCTGGGTTACAAATGCATTGCCAAGCTGCCGTGCATACTTCAGTATTCCTAAGATTCTGTGCCTCTGTTGCTCCAGTCCTCCTTTTCTTGTTTCCCTCCCAGCAGGGCTACTCCCATTCAGACCTCCTGGTGTTGGACCAGGGTGGGGAGATCTTTAAGACCTTACACTACCTCAGCAGCCTCATCCAGAGCATCAAGAAGCCTCTAGGAACCAAGGAGACCCCAGCCCGGATCTGTCGGGACCTCATGAACTGTGAGCAGAAGATGGCCGATGGTAAGGGGCAGGAGCCTGCGTACAACATGCAGCCCTGTTCTCTTCCCTAGCTCCCTCACTGTGGTCAGTGAGATCACAGGGAGACCTACTGATGGGCCTGCTGCTAGAGAGCACCCCATAAACCTGACACTTGGCGGGGAAAGCCCCACCTCGTGACTGTCTCTCCCTGTCTTTTCCTTGTTCTTTTTTTTTCCTCCTCCTCCTCCTTCTCCTCCTTCTTCTTATTTTTCTTCTTTTCTCTCTTCTTTTCCTTCTTCTCCTTTCTATATTCCTCCATCTTCAATGTCTGCTTTTCTCCCTTTCTTATTTCTCCTCTTCATCCCTTTCTCAATTTTCTTCCTCTTTTTTTGGTTGCCTCCCCTGCCCTTGCCTTCCTCTATTTCCTTTGACCTCCTTCCCCTGCTCTCCTCACCTGTTCCCTTCCCTTACTCCTTCTTCTCCTTCTTGCTTTTCTTCCTCCTTCTTTCCTTTTCTACTCCTGCTTCTTATCTTTCCCTTCTCTCTTTTCTCTTCCCCTACACACCTGAGCATTGGTGTTCAGAGACACCAGTGAGTCCTTCGAGTTTATCCCAGTGTGACCTTTTATTCCACACTTGGATCAATGATCCCCAGTGCGTCTCACAATGGAAACCCATGTTTTGATATCATTCAACCAACTACCCTGCCTTCATCTGGCTCCTGGAAGACTGGAGGCACTCTCTGCTTAAGATCTATTTTTGTCGTTTGCAGAGGCTGTACCTACAGATGTTTCCAGAAGGAACAAAATGATAACCTTATGCCTCTGGCAACAGCTGGCCCCATTCTTTGACCTAGCCCAGACATTTGAGGTTTCTTCCCCTATCCCTGCACACCAGCAACACCAGTCTTAGGAGCTTTCCTTCCTTTGAATAAAGGGAGGAGAGCTTCTAGGAGCTGAGGCTCCCAAAGTCCCCTCTGACTCTCTATTGTGCCCTTCCCCACTCTCACCCCTGATGCCATCGCATCCCATAGGTACATACTGGATCGACCCAAACCTTGGCTGTTCTTCAGACACCATTGAAGTCACCTGTAATTTTACCAAAGGTGGACAGACATGTCTCCGGCCCATCATTGCTTCAAAGGTATGAACCGAGTGGAGGTGATGACCCCCTCCTTCCCCTCTTTCTCAGGATAGCTTGACCCAAAGAACATAGCACTAAGACCATGTCTCCACCAGAATGTAGCTTCCTTCCCTGCCTCTGGACGGTAGTGACTCAGCTTGGCCTTCCACAAGCCTGGAAGTCAGGAGTCGTAGGACCATCGAATTTAGAACTAGAAGAGCCATAGTGGGCATCCAGTCCAGCCCTCTTACTTTACAGAGAAGGAAACTGAGCCAGGAGAGACGAAGTAACTTGCTTAAGATCACAGAGGTTGTAGATTGCAGAGCTGGGGTTTGAACTCAGGCCTTATCCAGTGTACTGTTCACCATACCATGGCTATGAGAGGCCTTCGTTCTAGTCTTGGCTCCATTAGTAACTGGCTATCATGAATTGGACGAATCATTTGTCCTCCTGGCCTGCTGGCCTCCTCCTCTCTTCTTCCCAAGATAAACAGCACCCTATGGGAAGGGGCTACCCAAATTCTGGAGGGGAAGTCCCCACTGAACCTCAGAGGGGCCGTAACAAATCATTTGTGCTCTTTGTACCTCAGATTGGATCTTTTGGGAAGGAGGAGATCTGTGGTTCTCAAATTCTTTGGGTTCCCTGCAGAAAGATGTGATTTTTCTCAGAAACTTATCAGGGTAGCTAAGTTTGGGCATAGTCCTTCTGTTCTTTCGCTCAGGCTGCCTGAAAGGAAGAGGGTAGGTACTGGATTCAGTAGCCCCAAATGGCGATGGGCCTCAGTTGCCACAACTACCCAGTAACCATAGACAGGCCATGGAGGGTCAGGCAGGGGAAGCTGGCTTTCTCCTCATTAACACCTAGAACTAAGAATCTTCCTACTTCTGGCCTTTGAAATCTCCCTTGCCCTGCCTTCTGCTCCCCAGGGAACCTCACCCATTTAAAAAATAGGCCTTTTTCCACCTCTTTGGTCTAGCCCTGAAGATCCCCCTCCCCACAAAAGGGACTGTTCTTACAGCCTCACTCCTATACCACTCAGGACTTAGAAGTACCATTCCTGAATCCTTCACCATGAAAGCCACTAGGTGGTGTTGTGGATAAAATGTTCAACTTGGAGTCAGGAAGACTTGAGTTTGAATGCTGCCTCAGGAAGTTATTAGCTATATCATTACCCTGGGCAAGACTTACCTCTTTCAGTCTCAGTTTCCTCATCTGTAAAATGGGGATCCATAAAGCACCTACCTCATAGTGTGGTTGTGAAGATAAAAGAAGAAAACCTGCATAAAAACCTTTGCAAGCCTCAAAGCACTATATGAATGTTAGCCATAATAGTAGTAATTATAATTACTACTATTATTAAGGCTGTCACTGAGGTGAGGGGACATCTGGGGGAGTAATTCACTCCAAATCACAGTTCCTTTCTGATTTGCTGCCAACTCCCTTCCCTGCACTCACCAGATCTCTAATGCCATTGGGTATAGCTCCTTACCATTCACTGTCCTGGGCCAGAGTCCAATTGTAGACCTCCTTTGATGATCCCAGCCCCCACAGTGCTATTAGTATATCAGTTGGTACATGCAGTTTTAGGTGGAAGGTCATAGGATTTTTCATAGAAAGCCTTGGGTTCCCTGAACTGGGATCTGTCTGCACAGAGAAGGGAGTAGGAAGGGCAGGCAGACAAGTTATGTGGCTAAGTCCTTGTCAAGGACAGGGAGGGTTATAAGTCTTTTTGGGTGGGTGCAAGAAAAAGATCTATTTTGAAAATGGTCCATTAGCAGGGGTCCCTACTGAGATCAGGTTATTGTGAGGGGCCCTGGGGAACAACAGATGGAGGGAGTGAAGGGGAGGTTCTGTAGACCTTAGAGATCACCTGACCCTATTCCCCCATTTTACAGGTGAAGAAACTCAGAGAGGTTCAGTGATTTGCCCAGGGTCACCCAGAGAGTTTGTACCAGAATGGGGACTAGAAACCAGGTCTTTGTACTGCCAGATCAGAGTTCTCTCCACTCTACCCCATGTCTCTGGTGCTGTAAACGAGGGCTTTGTCGTCATCTTTATAACAGAACAGTCCATTATCGTTTTATTTTACTGATTGGAAAATCTGAGTTCTGTGAAACCCCAGTGACTGGACCCAATATCATATAGCTAAAAGTGTGAATCCTGAGCCTTGAACTGTGAGCCCCTGGGTGTTTAGTCTTCTGTATTCCCTGGGCTGTTGTGGGAAGTAATTTGACCACCAAGGCCCTGCTTAGGAAAGGAGTGGGCATTGGGGCTGTCCAAGACACATGATAGGCGTTTGTTCAATTGGGAGGCAGTGTGGCACGTTGGAAAACAAAATGAATGTGAAGTAAACCCTCATTCACATCCAGTGGTCATTACTTTTCTGGCCCTGTTGTTCCCCTGCTCCCTTCCAGGTGGACTTTGCCGTTGGTCGGGTCCAGATGAATTTCCTTCACCTGCTGAGCTCTGAGGTGATCCAGCACATCACCATCCACTGCCTCAACATGTCCGTATGGCAGGAAGGGACAGGCCAGGTGTCCCCTAAACAAGCCGTGCGCTTCCGAGCCTGGAATGGGCAGATCTTTGAAGCTGGGGGCCAGTTTGAGCCAGAGGTGTCCTCAGATGATTGCAAGGTAAGGAATTAGCTCCTCTGAGCCTTGTATATTGATGTTCAGTCATTTTCAATCATGTCCAACTCTTGGTGACTCCATTTGGGGTTTTCTTGGCAGAGATACTGGAGTGGTTTGCCATTTCCTTCTCCAGCTCATTTTACAGATGAGGAAACTGAGGTAAACAGGGTTAAGTGACTTGCCCAGGGTCACACAGCTAATAAGTGTCTGAGCCCAGATTTGAACTCAGGAAGATGAGTCTTCCTGATTGCAGGCCTGGCATTCTATCCACTCTGCCACCTAGCTGCGCATTAGCCTTGTACCTAGTCTGTTACAAGGGTGGGGAACCTGCGGCCTCGAGGCCACATGTGGCCCTCTAGGTCCTCAAGTGTGGCCCTTTCACTGAAGTTTGGGGTCAGTCAAAGGGCCATACTTGAGGACCTAGAGGGCCACATGTGGCCTCGAGGCTGCAGGTTCCCCATCCCTGATAGAAAATGCAACCCTTTTTTCAGGAGAGAGTGAGAAAGGTATGCGCTCCATTCATTTTATCAACTGTTGGGACATCCCTCCTAAGGGGAGGGTTGGGCTGGTGGAAGAGACCATGAATCCAGTTTGTGAAGCTGACTGGAGGAGTCCACATTTCTCTCTCTTTTGCTGACACCACTCTGGACCTCTTTGCTTATTCCCTGCCCCAAGCATTCTTGCTTCTCTCCAGACCTGTCTTTAGAAATTTGGGAAGGAGTGTAGGTTATCCTCATCTGTGGAGTCTCACTAATGGCTTTTCATTACCCAAAACCTGATTAGTCCTTTCCTCCTGGTCCCCAGGTTCAAGATGGCCGCTGGCACCAGACACTGTTCACTTTCCGGACGCAAGATCCCCATCAGCTGCCCATAGTCAGTGTCTACAACCTCCCACCAGCTACCCCTGGGAAGCAATACCGCCTGGAAGTTGGACCTGCGTGTTTCCTCTGAACTATGACCTCCATGCCACTCCATGTCATTCCAGGACTCTGTGGATCCACGACATGGGGAGGATGAACATGGAGGAGGGAGTGTCCAACCCTCTTCTGCAGAGGCAGCTGGGCCAGGGGAAGGAAGAGGAGGAGGTGCCCACACCCTCTCCATCTCCAAAGTGGGCTGAGTGCCCACTGATACACACTCCACCCCTGCCTGGGGAAGGCCCATGACCCTAGGACAGGTCATGCTTGTCACCTGCAGGGTGGAGGCATGTGTGGGGCATCAGGGGAAGGGATGGCCCTGGGATAGGCTGTCCTGGGGTTAGCCCTAGCCAGTAGCTATGAGGATGAAGGTGTGAGGCCCGCCCCAAGCCATCCCATCTCCATCCATCAACCAAAGAACCATCCAAAAGTGGTGACAGCCACAACCCAACCCGCATTCCCCTATTTCTCTGTTACCAAGTCTCCATGTCTCCCAGACCTTTGCCTCCCCAGTTCTCTGCCAGGCAGGGAGAGAGGGACTAAATAATTCAGGCTCCCCAGTAGCTTTAGAAAAGGGTTGGGTAATCTTTCCCTTCACTCCCTGCCAGGAAGCTTTTGATGTGCAATATTAGAAAAGATGGATGAAACAGGAAAAAAGTATAAATATATATATATTTTTATTTAAACGAAGAAATAGGAAATTACTGCTCTTTCCCCATAGGTGGCCACCTAATGTCCCACAATGGGAAGGGAGAGTGGGGGGAAGAAAGAGAGCAAAAGGGAAAGGCGGGGAGGGTAGGGAAAGAAAGAAAGGGCACTACAAATGATCAAGTGGAAAGATCTTAGGGGCCAGGGTGAACACGTTTGCTACCTCCCACTGTGAACTCGCTGGTGCTCAAAAATCATGTTGTATTGTATGTGATTTTTTTTTTTAAAAAGACACATCCTATTTAAGGTTCTGAAGGTGCTATTCCTTTAGTGGCAGACTCTGAAGAAGCTATCCGATGTGGTAAAATGCCCACATCTGCTTCTCTCCCCAAACAAAATGACAGAGGTTTGGGGAATGCCTTTTCTCCCTTTTTCTTCAGCTAGTCTGCAAAAGAAAAGAAACCAAAAACCAAAAAAAAATTTTTTTAAACAACCCAAAAAACCCCCAAACCTACCAGCAGTAGAGATCTACCTTTTAACTTAAGTATGTGGAAGTATTTTAAAGGGACATGCTCTCCTCTTAGGGTGGCAGGGATGGAAGGGACCTCAGTTGTTAAGCACCAGGGCCTGGAAGGGAGATAAGAACTGACCCGTCTTCTCCTGTGGGAGAGTGGGAAGTGCCCGCTCAGTCCAGCTCCATCCCTGGACACTGAACAGATGTTGGCAAAAGCCCTGCCGGTTAGGGGCTGGGCTTCGGAGACTGAATGGGAAATCTTAAGGGCTGTCTTTCTGTGCTGTCTGACAGACCACTCCCAGGGTGCCTCCCTCTACCTACCTTCGGCACCCTTTCGAACCCCAGCAGTCCAGCATCACTCTGGGAGCTTTGTCCTTTCAAGAGTTGTGTGTGTTTTATTGTGTTGTCGTGTTTTTTTTTTTAATTGTCACTGTTAAGTTTTGTAGAAATCTTACGTCGCTATTCTCTATGTGTAAATTTGGAATGAACAAAAAGAGGATAATTATGGTAACCATGGAAGTCTCTATAAGGGTAACATTATTACTGTAAGCCAAGCTGTACTATATTGGAAAAAGCTTCACTGCTTGGGTGGTTGGCATTTTTGTGTTTCAAGGTTATTTTGAATATGGGATTCTTTTGTAGAAAGGGAAGATTATATGTGAAAGTCTTTATTTGTGTATATTGGGAGAGGGCATTGTCTCTCTTTGGGGTTTAAATCTGATTTTTTTTAATACCTCACCCTGCCCTACTTCTGCCCCTTTCCCTCTGGTCCCTCCCAGAACCCTTGCCCTCCTCACCTTTGCCTGGCCTAAACCCTGCCTGTACACCTCAGCACCACCCTGCCCTCTCCCTTCCATCCCACCCCCCACCCCCACCCCAGCCACATCTTTCCTGAAGCAGGTGCATTTCATCAATTACTGTAGCCAAGTGACCAGGGGCTGGCTCCTCCCCAACCTCTGGATTTCCTCCTCTAGTCCTGTTCATGGTCTTTCGTCTGTCTTTCCAGGTTTTGTCCATTTTTCCAGTCTGTGTTCTTTCCAGATGTTTTTGTGTTAAGACCCTATTTTGTTTTCTCCCTCCTGGACTTTCAATAAATATTTAAAGCTGAGGCAATGAAACTGCATGGCTGTGGTTGACCTGCTTCTTTGTCTGGGCTCTCTCTCATTTGTTTAGCAGTTGTACATTAAGCACTTATCGTGGGCCAGGCTGTGGACCAGGCACTGTATATCTTAAGACAGAAGCAAAAAGTTCCTGGCCCTAAGGGGCTTGTGTTCTATTATAGGTAAACCACACACACATGAATAAACACATTCTTCTTCCTGCTGATATATTTTCCTTTTGCACATATATTTTCGTTCACAATTCTGAGATGTTAGGGAGCAATGCCAATCACCCAACCTGAAATAATTGTAATCTCACTTATTCATATGCAAACTCTCTTTTGTATATGTAAGATTGGGGAGGACTGCAAAGAAATGGGTTTCTGAAGTAGGGTCATTTCCAGACACCAAAGTAGGAGGGACATTATATTATGAGGTTCAACAAATAGTCACCCAGAGGATGGCAGTGCACATGCAGTCCACATGGGTTGGAGAGATGGGCTTTTATACATAGGGGTGATGAAGCAATGATTTGGGGGCGGAGCCAAGATGGCAGAGTGAAAGCAGTGACTTGCTTGAGCTCTCCCCCAAAGCCCTCTAAATACCTGTTAAAAAATGGCTCTAAACAAATTCTAAAGCAGCAGAACCCACAAAAAGACAGGGTGAAACAAATTTCCAGCCCAAGACAACCTGGATGGTTGATCAGAAAGATTTATCGTGCCAGGTGGGGAGAGGAGCACAGTTCGGCATGGGCATGCAAGCCACAGCGACCCTGGAGCAGGCTTCAGAGGTCTGAATCGCGGGCAGCTGTGGTGGTTTCCAGACTTCTCAACCCAGGAACTCCAAAGACAACTTAGAAGGTCAGTGGGAAAAGTCTGTGACTGCAGTGAGAGAAGAAGCTGCGTCTCAGCCACGAGTACCAAGCATGGGCTGAGGCTGCCTCCTGAGCTTCCAGCCCACAGACTGAGGGGGAATTGAGTGGCTGATTAGAGGGGGATTGCAGGGATCTCTTTGTCAGTGCTGAGGCAGGAATCTCTTGCTTTGCCTGTGCTTGGATCTGGGTCACAGTTCTGAGGGGCAGTCCTGGGGTGAGGAGGAGCACTGGCGTGGAGGAGCTTGTAGTGGCGGTAGAGAGGAAACACCTCGCCCCTTATCACAGCACCTTGGAAGAACTGACACTTTTCAGGTCCCTAGAAGTATCTCTGAAAACAGTTGTACAAACCCCTGAAGCTTGGGACAGTACATTCTCCACATTGGAAGCAGACTCTTACCTTAACAAAGAGTTTAAAACTTAAGTAATTGGCCAGGATCATGAGTAAGCAGCGCAAAAAGAGTCAGACTATATATATTATCTTACTTTGGTGACAAAGAAGATCAAAACATACAACCAGAAGAAGACAACAAAGTCGAAGTGCCTACACCCAAAGCCTCCAAGAAAAATATGAATCAATGCCAGGCCTTGGCAGAGCTCAAAAGGGATTTTGAGAAGCAAGTAAGAGAAGTAGAGGAAAAACTGGGAAGAGAAATAAGAGAGATGCAAGAAAATCATGAAAAACAAGTCAATAGCTTGCCAAAGGAGACCCAAAAAAGTACTGAAGAAAATAACACCTTAAAAAATAGCCTAACCCAAATGGCAAAAGAGGTCCGAAAAGCCAATGAGGAGAAGAATGCCCTAAAGAGCAAAATTGGCCAAATGGAAAAGGAAATCCAAAAGATTACTGAAGAAAATACTTGCTTAAAAATTAGAATAGAGCAATTGGAAGTTAGTGACTATGAGAAATCGAGACATTGGAAAACAAATCCAAAAGAAAGAAAAATTAGAAAATAGTGTGAAATATCTCATTGGAAAAACAAGTGACCTGGAAAATAGATCCAGGAGAGAGAATTTAAAAATTATTGGACTATCTGAAAGCCATGATCAAAAAAAGAGCCTAGATATCATCTTTCAAGAAATTATCAAGGAAAACTGCCCTGATATTTTAGAACCAGAGGACAAAATAGAAATTGAAAGAATCCACCCATCTCCTCCTGAAAAAGATCCCCAGAGGAAAACTCCTAGGAATATTGTAGCCAAATTCCAGAGTTCCCAGGTCAAGGAGAAAATATGACAATCAGCCAGAAGGAAACAGTTCAAGTATTGTGGAAACACAATCAGGATAACAAGATTTAGCAGCTTCTATATTAAGGGACCACAGGGCATGGAATATAATATTCCGGAGGGCAAAGGAGATAGGATTACAACCAAGAATCACCTACCCAGCAAAACTGAGTATAATCCTTCAGGAGAAAAAATGGACATTCAGTGACATAGAGGACTTTCAAGCTTTCTTGATGAAAAGACCAGAGCTGAATAGAAAATTTGACTTTCAAATACAAGACTCAAGTGGAACATGAAAAGGTAAACAGGAAAGAGAAAATCATAAGAGACTTATTAAGGTTGAACTGTTTACATTCCTGCATGGAAAGATGATATTTGTAACTCATGAAACCTTTGTCATTATTAGGGTAGTTGGAGGGAAAAAATTATATGTATGTAGATAGATAGATAGATAGATAGATAGAGGGCACAGGGTGAGTTGAAGATGAAGGGGTCATATCTGGAGAATAAAATTAAGGGATGAGAGAGGATTATACCAGGAGAAGGAGAAAGGGAGAGGTAGAACAGGGTAAACCATTTCACAAAAAAAAAAAACAAACAAAAGAAAAGGCTCTTACAGTGGAGGGGAAATGGGGAAAGTGAGAGGAAATAAGTGAATCTTATTCTCATAGAATTTGACTTAAGGAGGGAATAACATACACACTCAATTGGGTATGGAAATCTGTCTTACCCTGCAGGAAAATAGGGGGAGAAGGGGACAAGAGAGCAGGGGAATGATAGAGAGAGGGCGGATTGGGAAAGGGGGTAATGAGAAGCAAACACTTCTGAGGAGGGACAAGGTCAAAAGAAAGAATAGAATAAATGGAAGAGTGGGGTAGATTAAGGGAAATAGAGTTAGTTTTTCACAGCATGTCTACTATGGAAGTATTTTTTATGACTGCACATGTATAACCTATATTGAGTTGTGTGTGGGACAGCGATGACCCTTACCCAAATTAATTCAGAGGCTTCTCCAGGTAGAAAAGAGAAAGGATTTTATTTTGATCTTGAGAAAGGGTGACTCACACCAAAAGGCAGTTCGATGCAAGACTGCAGGTGATGTCAGCCAAGCAAGCATTTTTATAGGTTCTAACTGCAACCCCTCCCTAGCCCCCTACCTCTTATCCCATTGGCTGGGCTTCAGAGGGCACAATCTAAACACAATAAAACTACCCCAGCAACAGCAGTGGAAATTACAGAATCATTACATAGTTTTCACCTGCCTTTCCCTCCTTTAAGTATCCTCTTAGTATATCCTCTTTTGTTCATTTCAGATTCTGGAACAATTTGTAGTTATACTTATCTTCTACAACAATTTGAATATATTTATCCAGGCTATTTACAAGCTTCCTGACCTGGGTACACATAGGTTATTATTAGAGGTCTT